GCTCGTGACATCCCCGACACGCGCGCTCGCCTCCCACCCCCGGCCCCACGTGCCCCCCGCCCGCCGCCCCATTACACCGCCCGCACACCCGGAATTACAACGCATTGGCACCCGGCGCCCGTCCCTGTAACCCGACGACCCTTTCTGCAGAACGCCATTGATTCGTTACATTATAGCAGTCCTTCTCAAAAATTGTTCTAACTCCAAGTTCTGCAATCAGAGCGTCGCTGCGCAGTGACGGGTGCCGGTTCTGTGCAGTCAACGCTAATGCTGAGCTCAGTCGTGAACATAGCACGGTTCGCGACAACAGTCCAGCTGCTGGCCTTTGCGTTAGCAACTGCAGGTGCTTCCGGTAGACAAGGCAGAAGTAAGAGCACAAGCGCCGGCTGGCAACAGCAAAACGACTCAAGGGAGCGGCGGACACCGTAAATGAGCGCAGCGTTGCCCACCTCGAAGCTTTTCTCGTGTGCACGGGCTGCCTGAAGCATTCGGGTCGCATTTGCATAGATAGATAGATAAGTTCCTTATGCCATAGCATCACTACCCGTCCATCGGCCCCACGCTCATCAGAGCGGACCTCCTCATTCCTAACCTTCCCACGGATCTGCCAGCAAGCATACGCATAAGGTGCAACAATATTAGCAAGCACAGAGCCACTAAGAAAATCAACATCAAGCAAGTTGTAAAATTTCTCTTCATTCTGCATCTGCTGCATCATATGCCAGCAATCAGGCGCCATCTCGTCCTCCAGTCGCCGCCACAGCTCTCCACGCACTGATTCGTACTTGGGGCAGTCCAATAGAAAATGATACACTGACTCAATTCCAGTTGAGCAGACAGGGCAGCAATAATGAGAAGTATCAGAGGGGTCATTCCGCCGGCTGCGGCTGAACTTCCGTGTGTGCGAGTTGCATACTGTATAGAAGTTGGATGTGAAGCATGACCATGTTGAATTCTGTGAAGTGGGCTCCACGCAGAAGGCATTTGCTTGACAAGCGAACATCAGAAGTGACACAGTCGCACCACGCACACTCGCCCGGCGGACATGGCATGACTTGCAAAAATCCTAGCTGGTGCACAGCTTGCACTGGCACCAGGCCCGGCGCTGTGAGCCTCAACGCTCACCACTCACGCTGGGGCAAAAGCGTCTCTCACAAGGCAACAACAGCAGCATGGCGCGAACCGGCCGCCCTCCGCCGGTGTGCGGCCACGTCACTGCAGCACTGGCCGAGGTCAGCAAGGCGGCGGCGCAAAGCGCACAGCGTGTGCTAGCCAGCGTCCACGCTCGTCGCATGGAGGTCAATTATTTCAACTACCATCGAGTCGGCACACTGAAAATCCTGCGGTGCTGACGGCGTGTTGCTCTTCATCAGATCGCTTGAATACGGTAGATCGCCCGAGTCTGACAAGCAAGTGAGCTCACTTCAAGTACTCAGAAAAGCAACAATGCACAGCATAAAAGGCAGTAGATGGAAGGGCGGGCCGCATTTAGCCGAGTCCAGGTGGGATTCAGACTGAGACACCGCGCATTCAAGCCCATAGTGGTTCATGCAACAGCTGGGGATGTTAACATCAAATGGGACTTTGTGGTGCCGCAACTGGGTGTGACGCACACGCGCGCACCACTGCCCCTGCTGCTTACAGTGCTCTGCTTGTGCTGGTGCCTCCCATCATCCCTGCCGCGGCCACGCCATGCGTTTCAATCCCCCATGCACGCACCCCCACAGGCGCCTGCCTGCCGGCAACGCACGTGCAGTGGCTTCTGCTCGCAGGGCGGCGCCCACGCCGCGAGTTGCGTCGCGAGCACCGCACCTGGCGCCCAGAGCCGCGTCGGGCGAGGTCTCCCAGAGCGCGAAAAAGCCCAAGCGCGGCCGCAAGGCCGACCACGACAAAGACGGCAAGGACCCCAAGGGCGCGTCCAGCAGCAGCGCCAATTCGGCTGGCGCCTTCTTCGCGGATGATTGGGATGACGACGATGACGAGGATGGGGAGGGGTCTTTCCTGGTGAGAGGCGCCCAGCCGCCAGAGGAGCGCGCCCGCCCGCCCGTTCGCCCGCCGCCGCGCGCCGCGCCTCGAGCGGCTGACCCGGGTCCAGGGTGCTGATGAGCGGCGGCGTCGGGGCTGCGGGGCCTGGCAGCAGTCGCTGACCCTGGGTGGCACGTCAACCACCGCGGAGAGGTGGAGCGGGCTGTCGGTCCGCGTCGTCCAGCAACGCCCCCAAACCCCACTGTACCCCTGGATTCTCCTGCTGCGTTCGCGTCGACTGCTGCTCACCCTGCAGGCCCCTTATATGGACTCTGTTCTCAAGGTGAGAAGACGCGCACCCGCAACACCAACGCCCGCGCTCAACTGGGCGCACGGCTTGCGGCGTCGCCTGCGCTCGGCCGCCGTGCCCGCCCCCATGCCGCCCTGAACTAAATCGTGGTGAGGTGGCGCGCGGGCCACTGATACGAGACCTTTCACTTGCTACCTGTCGTTTCAAATCCGCCGTGCGGCAGGTCTACTGCGTCCACACAGAGCCCAACTTCTCCCTGCCGTGGCAGCGCAAGCGGCAGTACCCCAGCAGCAGCAGCGGCTTCGTGGCGGCGACGGGGGACCGCCGCTGGATCCTCACCAACGCCCACTCTGTCGACTATCACACACAGGCATGCCGACCCTCGCAAGCAGCCGTGCATATGTGCGTGCGCATTGGACGACCGACGGCCCCTCGTCCTCATTCCGTGGCAGGCCCCAGCGCGAATGGCAGGCCACCAGGCACTGCCCACCGCCCCCGCTCGCCCGCCAGCCGGCGGCCCCGCGCAGGCCGCTGCGTCCTGCCCGCCGCCGCTTCGGCCATCATGACTGCTTGCATACCACCTGCTGTTGGTGCGACGTCGCTCAAACGCGCAGGTGAAGGTCAAGCGGCGCGGCGACGATCGCAAGTTCATAGCGCGGGTCCTGTCAGTGGGCGTCGACTGCGACATCGCGCTGCTCACAGGTGGGGCGGGTGCCCCTTTGACAGTCCTGTGCTGTGCAGCTGCGGTGCCACGGCTGCAGCTGCCGGCGGGGCAATGGGCAGGTTGGACTTGTCTTGGTTGGACTGGAAGCGTCGGCGTTGGCTGGTGCGCTGCGCACCCGTGGAGCTCGGTCATGAGCCCATGGCCTCTGGCGGGCGCAGTCAGGCCGAGTGTGCTGCGCCGCAGGGCGCCGCGTGGAAGTAAGGGCACTCTCAAACAGGCATTCCAGCTCGCCAGATTAGGGCGAGCTGGAGTGCCTGATTTAGAGTGCCCTGACAACTTCACTGTTCAGCGCCCAGCCTACAGCATCCCCAGACCCGTAACGAGGACCACCGCAACCAAGGCCGACCCACCCCTTTACCATGCGCAGTGGACGACCCTGAGTTTTGGGAGGGCGTGTCCCCCCTCGAATTCGGCAGCCTGCCGCGGCTGCAGGACCAGGTGGCAGTGGTGGGGTACCCCGTCGGCGGCGAGAGCATCTCCATCACCGTCGGCGTGGTCAGCCGCATAGAGGTGCGCATGAGCAGGGCGGCGCGGGCAGCAAGGGCCAGCCAGGGGCTCCGCACGCCGGCTGCAGATGGCGGTTGACCGGCCGGCGCTGTTGGCCCCCCCTGCAAGGGGGCCCGGGGCGGTGGCTGGTGGAGGGAGGGGTTGCTGCAGCGACAGGTTTGCTGGGCTTCAAATGGGGCAGGGGCGGCAGGTTTAGCGGTGCACGCAGACCTCCACAGCTGCAGGCATGGGCACCTCCCCAACCTCCTTTGCTGCAGCTGCCCTGTGTGCATCTTGCATTGGATCCCTTTTCCCCCATACACACACACACACACGCACATGTACACACCAGGTGACCGAGTACACGCACGGCTCGTACGACCTGCTGGGGGTGCAGATTGACGCAGCGGTGAGCCCTGCGCGCTGCTGGGGAGCCCGCGTCCATACACACCTGTGCCTTAGGCGCAGCCCTCTGCGCCCTGGGATGTATGGCTGCGTAATGGTTTGGTGCGGGCGTCGCATTATGGTGACATCACCAGCCACGCGCTGCCCCGCGCTCTTCTGAACAGATCAACGGCGGCAACAGCGGCGGGCCCGTGTTCAACGGGAAGGGGCAGTGCGTGGGCATCGCGTTCCAGGCGCTTTCCGGGAGCGACGTTGAAAACGTGAGTGGCCGGCGGCCCGGGCGTGCGGGTGCGCCCGTGGGCGAAAGGGTAATACCGTGGCTTTGCAGGGGCCGCCGGCTTTGGCGTGGTGTCCATTGCGCTACGGCTGACTTGCTCGCGCCGCGAGCGTGCCCTGGTCCTGCGCCCCCGTCAAGCGCGCGCCTGCCGCGCCTGCAGTGCCCTACCCCCAACTGATTGGTGCATACCCCTGCCTCAACATGCATCACAGCAAGCATAGCTGACCACCTGGGCTCCCAATCACCTGCCCACCCCCAAATAATCCGTTTTTCTGCTCCTGAACAGGTCGGTTACGTCATTCCGACCACGGTGGTCAGCCACTTCCTGACGGATTACATCCGCAACGGCTCGTTCACGGGCTTCCCGGCGCTCGGGGTGCAGTGGCAGCGGATGGAGAGCGACGCGCTGCGGCGCGCCTACAGCATGCAGCCGAAGCAGAAGGGTGCGTACGCACAAGCCCTTGTCCTCCTCCAACGCAGGGCCTCGCTGCTGCCTCAGGCTTTGGGGAGGGCCCTGAAATTCTGCAGCCACCCGCCACCTTCCTCCACCTTCCTCTGCGCCCGCAGCCACGGCCCGCGGCCAGCTCTCCCATCAGAACCTTCGCGCCGTCCACGCAAAACCACGTCACCCCGCGCTCGCCCCGCGCCTAAGTTCGACTCCCGCGTGCGCCTTTGCTTTTTTGCCCCAGGCGTCCTCATCCGCCGCGTCAACGCGACGTCGCACGCCGCGTCGGTCCTGCAGTCCGACGACGTCCTCCTCTCCTTTGACGGCACCGCCATCGCCAACGACGGCACCGTGCCGTTCCGCACCGGCGAGCGCATCGCGTTCAGTTACCTCATATCTCAGAAGTATGTGGGCGACGAGGCGGCGCTCGAGGTGCTGCGCGGCGGAGAGGTGCTGAGCACGACGGCAAAGTGAGGAGCGGTCGAGCGGGGCGGGCTGCGGGCCTTCGGAGGGAGAGGGGAGGGACAGGGGTCTGAGGCGGCGTGCGGCCGCCGACGGCAGCTGCTGAGCGCGGCGGCTGGTGTTGCGAGCAAAGCTTTGAGCGCGCGCCGTCTGCCGCCCCGCCGCCGCCACCCCCCTCCCCAAAAGGCTCTCCAAGCCCGCGGCGCTGGTGCCGCCCCACCTGGGCAACCGCGACCCCTCCTATTTCTTGGTGTCCGGCCTGGTGTTTGTGGCGTGCTCTGAGCCCTACCTGGAGTCGGAGTACGGTGCTGACTACGCCAGCGAGGCGCCCGTGAAGCTGCTGGACAAGTGGGTCCGCGGCCTGAGGGAGGGGGGTGCCGCTGTGCTCTTTTCAGGCCGCTGTTGCCAGCGGCGGCCGCTGCACGCGCGAGCCCCAGTGCTGCGGCGCGAACAGGGCAGGGGCAAGGCGTCCAGGGGCCCCCCGCGCTCGAGTGGCCCCCGCGCTTGAGTGTCCGGCGGCGGGCAAGGGACGAAAGCCTTGTGTTTATATGTGTGTGTGTGTGTGTGTGTGTGTGTGTGTGTGCGGGCATGTGTGTGTGTGTGTGTGTGTGTGTGTGTGTGTGTGTGTGTGCGTGTGACTGCGTCTGTGCACATGCCTTGCGCGCGCTTGTGCAATCAATTGGGAGGGCTGCCTGAGACACAAAGGGGTGTGTCGATTTGCGATGATGCCCCCCGCGACACACACATGCACACTCACACCCGCACCCCAGCGTCGCCACTCCCACCCCTCTCCACACCTCTCACCCCCAACCGCACCCCCACCCCCACCCCCTGTACTC